GGGGGGGGGGGGGAGGCGGGGATAGAGGGAAGAAGGGACTTATGGAAAGCATTATTATTTAATTTGCATATATTTATTTTCAAAAAACAACACAAAAATTCAAGTAGAGAAACTAGAGAAGTTTCACTCCACTCTCCTGATCTCATTAAATTTAAATGCAGTGCCCTCAAGCGAAAAGTGGACTGGGTCTCAATTAGATAAAACATCTGTTCCCCCAGCCAGTTGGCTTCTCTGTTGCACTAACAGCTCAGGCACCTCCCCTTTGACCAGCCCGAAAACCACAGCTGCATCCGATTGAGGCTTTGAACTGCAAGGTTCAAAGTCCTGGGGAAGACTCAGTGGGGAGACTTCCAAACCACTCATCAGAATGGATTCATTACCCTTTTCACTTCGCCTGGAGGCTTGCCTGCATTTGCTGTCCATGATGAAGTGCATGTCCCCTTTCCAGACCCCCAGGGCCACCATGGTCTTTGAAACAAAGGAGCTTGTCTGTAGACCAGCTTCAGATAAGACTTCTGGAGCCTCTCTCAGCTCTTTGTTGCTAAAGGTTTCTTGTCTGGGAAGCAAATTCGAGTCCAGAGACCTGGCCACCATGGTCAGCTCAGCCGCAAGATAACTGTGGGAATCTGGGTGAATGACTCCCCCTCTTTGTTTTTGTTTATTTTTTAATATGTTTTTATTGATTTCAGAGAGAGAAACATCAATGATGAGAGAGAAGCATTAATCAGCTGCTCCTGCATGCCCCCTAGGGGGAATTGAGCCCACAACCCTGACACTTACCCTAGGAATCAAACCATGATGCTCAACCACTGAGACATGCCAGTGAGGGGGCACCCCATCTTTGTTCCATCTCTGCAGACTGCTGGCTTAAAATTTCATGGACCTCAGACCCTTTGGAAAATTTGATGAAAGGTATATATATAATAAACCTTCCTTAAAAATATGCACAGGCATATGAAGGAAAAAAATGTTGCTCTTAATTTCAGAAGGTTCATGGGCCCCCCTAGGCCATCAAGGCCCTCTTCCATGCCTCACATGAAGAATCTTGTCTAAATTATGTCTGAGCTGCTCCCCAGCTGCAGGAAGTGCACTTTAGAAAATTATTCACAATTGCCCAGCCAGTGTGGCTCAGTGGTTGAGCATCGACCTATGAACCAGGAGGTCACAGTTCAGTTCCTGGTCAGGGCACATGCCCCAGTTGTAGGCTTGATCCCCAGTAGAGGGGGTGCAGAATGCAGCTGATCCATGATTTTCTCTCATCATCGATGTTTCTGTCTCTCTCTCTCCCTCTCCCGTCTTCTCTAAAATCAATAAAAATATATATTTTAAAAATTTTTTAAATAAAATTATTCACAATTAAGGAGACACTTCAGCAAATACTATACCTCTTGTAAGGTTTTTTGCTCCTTTCAGAGTAGAACAGGGCCCAAGGATGCAAGTCCAATAACATAGATTTTTATAATAAAAGCTGGTCAGGAATTCTACCATTATCATTAAGGAAAGAAAGAGAAAGGAACTGATTCGGAATAGCTACCTTGAAAAAGAATAATGTGACTATTTTCATGCTCAGTTTTTAAAATATGAAGAAAATTAAAGATAGCCTCATCTCTTAAACACCTCTATTAATATTTTGTCATATCTCTTCAAATCCCTTTTTACATACACACACACCCTTACATGTAAATATGTCATGAATCCAGTGTTTATTCTGGACTTTTTATGTAATATTGCGGCATACTTAGAGTATAATCTTATGCCACACTCTGTGTAAATACTTGTGATACATGGATAATATCCCAGTAGGTGAATATAGCACCAAAATGTGCTTAATGGTGCCCACTTAGATGGGCATGTAGATTGTTTCCAGGATTTTTTAAATCTTTATTGTTGAAAGTATTACATATGATGGTCCCTCTTTCCCCCATTGACCTCTTCTCGCCCGCCCCCGCACATGATCTCACTCATATGTGAAATCTAATGAACAAAATACACTGACGAACAAAACTAGATCCAGGGACTTAGAAGCTGGAACAGACTGTTTCCTGGGTTTTGACGGTATAACTGAGGACATGCTAAACAGCTTCGTACATGGAACTCGGTACAGATTTTAGGTGCTTTTCTTAGAAAAAGAGTCTCATCAGTGGAATTACTGGGGTAAGGATAATAGTCTCTCTAGGCTCTTGAGATCTATGGTTACATTGCTTTCCAAAGAGGCAAAGTGATTGTTAGTCCCGTCGGCAGCCTGGATGTCTGCCTGTTACATCCGCAAAGAGGGTATGCTTGGTTTATGCTTAGTCCCTTGGAGTGTTATTTGTAGATTTAAAAAATCTCAATACTAACAAAAATGTTGCCCAGTTCTACTAACCAATTGCTCTAAAAATACATATTATGACGTTTTCTATCACCAAGAATCATTCAACTTCTTTTTTTCCTTTTAACACAGGTCCTTGGAGCAGAGAAAGGTAAACTGTTTATGTTTGTTTTCATCCCCTCATGCTGTTAGGCTAAGTGCTGTTTCCATATTTACAGGGTTAGTCATTTGCTGAAAGGACCGATTGCTTCAGGGCCTGGGATGGCTGAGCACGTGGCAGGGGGGTGGGGGGGACAAGGGGAAGAGGGGCAGGAAACGTGACCCAGATGGACCCAGGATTTCCTCTCTGTCTGTTGAAGAATGCTCTGGCCTAAACGGGGTGATTTAAATGGGGGCTGGGCTCGTGGTCTTTCTTCAGTGCAGGCTGCTGACAAGGAGGCACAGGCCACCCCCAGCCAATTTGGGAAGACATTGCTCTTGACCTCTCCCTCTTTGATGTCACCATGAACACACACCTACACCCTCATTTGAGCACGCGCGCGTGCACACACACACACACACACACCATCGGGGTCACTGCTGTGAAGCAGGCAATCATCACTCGCTCTCCAGCTGGCAGGGTGCAAAGTAGGTAAGGACCTCATGTCCACCTGTGAAGTGCTGTTCGCCATTCACTCAGAATGAAGACTTACCTCCAGAGCCAAGGGCTGAGCCTCAACCAAAGAGTTCAGGCAGGAAGCGCGATCACAAAGCAACAGGGGCCCCCACCGACCCGCCATGGTTCCGGACGGGCTGCAGGCCTCCGTGGGTCTCCAGTGTGCTGTTCCTTATACTGAGGACGTTAGCCTTAAGCAAGGCCTCATCTGGGTTTGCAGATGCCCAAGGCCTCTGATGGAGGAGGGGGGCCTGTTGGCGATCTAAAAAAACTCAAAACCGAAAGGAAACTGAGCCCTTTCCCGCACTGAAGCTCAGCATCCTGACTGGAAGTTCAGGGGTCGTTGCCTTGGGTTCCAGTGATGGTCAATGCAGCAGTGCGACCGTGTTCAGCTCACAAGGCGCAGGCGCTCTGGGTGGGTGCTGATGACACGAAGCACTTTTATAGGATGTGCAGCTAGTGGGCCAGTCACTGACTCCAATCACATTCCAAGTAATCACAGTCCCTCAATCAAAAGTGTCCATTCGGTGATCAACCTTGGGCAGAGCACAGTGAAGACGCGGAGGTGTCTGTATGCTTCCTTAACTTTATGACTCCAGCTGAAATTGAGAGTTTTATGGGGTTTCATACCAGGGCAGTATTGTGTGCCCTTGGTACTTCTGATGGCTGATTAGAATCTATTCACGATGAGAAGGAAATAAAAAGCGGTAACAGCATTGGCCTATGCGATTACTAAATAACTCCAGGTCATCTGGTTTGCAGAACTGTTCAAAACTTGACGATCAAGGGGGACATTCTGAGAAAAGGCATGCCTACACACCAGTCTCCTGGGGCTCGCCTGCCCTGGCACAGGGGCATGAGAATTTAGGGGGTGGGCCAGCACTGAGCATCCCCATGCCCTACATTGCTCATAACAGTTCTTGAATTTAATCTTTTTTTAAAAAATATGTTTTTGTTGATTTTTAAGAGAGAGGGAGAGAGAGATAGAAACACTGATGAGAGAGAAACATCATCAATTGGCTGTCTCCTACACACACCCCACCAGGTATTGGGCCCACACCCCAGGCATGAGCCCTGACCAGGAATTGAACCGGTGACCTCTAGGTACATGGGTCAACACGCAACCACTGAGCCACACCGGCCGGCCTCTTGGATTTCACCTTTTCGTTTATGTTTCTATGTAAGTCTTCGTTTGAATCAGAATTCCATTTCAGTTCTCTTCCACAACAAACACCTCCCAGCGTAACGTTCTATGTTTTGGGAAATTCAATGATGAGTTCCAGATTCAGTGTTCTCCATCACAGTATTGAAGATTCAATATTTCAATTTTATAGCCTCAAGGAGAAGCCACTCCCAGGAGCCAGGGTCAGTGTGGAATACGTGGGTTGCTGCTGGCCACCACCAGCAGATTAGAAGTTAGAAAGTAGATCACCCGAGATTACTGGATGAAATTATAGCCATTCCAATGGGCCTCAGATGGTCTCGAGTCATTTTCCTTTTGCATCCTGAAATGATGTGACTCCTCTCTACAGCTCCTCATCCCCTGACGAAGCCGGAATCCTCTCACAGGACCCAAAACCAAAGCGCTCCAGAAATCCCTCTTGCTGTCGCCAGGTAAGGAGCCAGGAACGCCTGGTTGGGTCCCGCTTTGGGGCTCAGGGCATGTGTTGTGTAGGATAATGACTCGCCAAGGCTTCCTGAGACACAGGAAGTCCTGGGCCTTTGATAAGAAAGGAAGTCCGGAGCCACAGCTGTTATTGAAGCTAACAGCGACATCCTTCCCGTGCTGTGCACTTCTCCGAGTGAGGCTAGAGAAGTGTGGCGGACTCAAAGACCTGAGTACTAACTAGGTCAGATTAACTGGGACAGATGCTAACTATCCCGGGGAGAGAAGTGGGCTTTTCTAACTAGACTCAGTTACTTTTGAATTTCACTTTACAGATGGCCAGGACTTAAAGAGACCATTTTTCTGATTAAATACTTTCCTGATCAGGTTATTATAACAATTGTCATCTCAACTAAACAGTCAAGGAAGCAAGGGCTCAGGCTGGAAGACACTGTATATTAGTGGTGGCTTCCTTAAAACAAAACCCAGGGCCTCCAAAATTAGTGCTAGAGGCCCTATCACCCTGGTCTGACCAGTGGCTTCAGCCTCCGTTCATGCCCCTAACCCACTTTCCCACTCTCCACTGTCACCTACCGCAGGACATTAGTGCACACTATTTCTCTGCCTGTACCCCTTCCCTCCATAGCACTCCGTCTCCACTCTCTCCAGGCTTGGAAAACTTCTCTCTATTCATCAGACCCCAGCTTAAAGCCACTGAATCCAGGCGACAGTTCTGACCCATTTCCCAGAGTGAATAAATGAGGCCCAGATAATCTGAGGCCCTTTCCCATTGAAGTCAAGTCCAGTTCACGTTCAGCAGCTTGTGTTGTCTATACTGACAACTCTAAAACCGTTGCCCATGAATCCTGACTTCTCCAGGGGCCTGTCCAGGGTGAAGATGCTGTCATTGTACCTAGTAGTTACTTACAGGGAGTCACCCTGTTTGTGGTGGAGTAGGGCAGTGGTTAGGAGGAGGAATTCACTAGGATCAGGCTGCCTCACTCCACCACCAGCGAACCACGTGACTCTGGGCAACATCACCCACCTCGCATGCAAAGCTGAGAGCAGAGCCAGGCCTGTTGCAAGTACCTGGCACGTGTGCGCTCTCATTGTCACAGCCAGGTCCTGTCCATCAGGGTGGCCGCCTCCCCCACATCTTCCCCTCCCTCACTTTCCTTTCTTGTCCTCTCACACCTTCAGTGGCTTTGTTCTCAGTCTCTGGCCTGTGGGTGTTAGAACTCTGGCTTCCTAATTCTTGTTAGGCTGTTTCTGTTTAAGGCCCAACCTGGCACAAAATTCTTGCCCATAGCACACTATAAACACCCTCTCTTAATGTAATTTTCTAAAAGGAAAATAAAATCCTCATATTGTCGTGAAAAGATAATGAGCTCTCATTGGCACTCAAATCTGTAGTAGTTGTTTGGTGTGGTTTGGCTTCTTTTGTTTCTTTGTTTAATTCGTTGAACAAAGTCTCCTGATTTTTCTTCCTCCACTAACTGGCTTCTTCTTCTGGGCCCCATGATTGGACTTTTTCCCAAGCTGACCTCCAAGTGCTGGGATCCCTCAGTGTCCATCTGAGGTCCTGGCTTCTCTCACTAAGAGCTGGGCAGTGTCAGTCACTCCACAGTGTTGATGTCACCCTATGCGGGTAATTCCTAAACCTCTATCTTCGGCCACAATCACCCTTCTTAGCTCCAGACCCAACAGGCAGTTTTCCTTAAATAGGTGACTACTACTCCTCAAACTCATACGTTGAAATGGATCTCTTCATTTCTACTTTCATTCCCAAACCAACTGTATCCTCCCACAAACGTTCTCTCCCCAGTAAATGATGCGTTCTCTTCCCCATCTTCACTCTTCCATTTCCACCTCCCCAAGTTCTATCTCCAAAACATGTCTTAAGTCTATCCATGTCTCCTCATTTTCCTAGCTCCCACAGGGGGCAGCCAGCCACCTTCAATCTCGCTTGGACTCTCGCAGTAGCCACTTAATGACACTTACCATCCCCATGCCTCACCTTCTATCCAGAAGGAACTGAGTTCTGGTCTGTTGCAGAATAATCCGTTTCCTTGGCCCCGAGCCTTTGCACCTGCTGTTCCCTCTGCCTGGAACAACACCCTCCCTCATCACCGTCTCCTATTCATCTTTCAGAAGTCAGCTTGGTTAGCACGTCTCCCAGGAAGGCTTTCCTGAGACCCAACGTGATTTTGTCTGGGTTAAGGCTACCGCAGGGACTCCTGCTGCGCACACACCTGTCCCGGCACTTAGCCCACTTGTGATTATGATACAATGTCTTCCCTCCCCAAATGGAGTGGCTTCAGGGAAGAGGCCTTGTCCTACTCATGTTACATTCCTCCAAAGATGCCATGTGCCCAATAGGTACTCAACACACCTTTTTTTCTTTTCTTTCTTTTTTTTTTTTTATCCTCACCCACTGATATTTTTCTACTGTATAGGTACTCAACACACCTTTTTTTCTTTTCTTCCTTTTTTTTTTTTTTATCCTCACCCAATGATATTTTTCAACGGATTTTTCGAGAGAGTGGAAGAGAGAGAGAAAGACAGAAACATCAATGTGAGAGCAGCACATCGATTGGTTGCCTCCTGCACGAGCCCTGACCAGGGAAGAGCCTGCAACCAAGGTCCCTGCCCTTGACTGGAATCGAACCTGGGAGACTTCAGTCCGCAGGCTGATGCTCTATTCACTGAGCCAAACTGGCTAGGGCTTAACACACCTTTTAAAAGTGAAAGAATCTTTGTTTTTATTTTATTTTCATTTGCTTGTTTGGGTATTGTTTGTTTATTTTTGCTTTGATCCTTATAAACTTGGTATTTGAGACCTAAAATGTCCTCAGAGGATGTTCCTAGTCTCTCAACATTTTCTTTTTAAAAATCCTATGAAATTAGGGCAGAGACATTTTGCTACAGATGACTTTTCCCCGCAGACATTTATTAAAGCCGTACACTGGTTCCTGGTAACGGAATCTGGTGTTAACAGAGTCCAAGTCTTGGATGCCAGTAGAAGTCTGACCGGGTATTACAACACAGCGCGGTGGTTAAATAATCTGCGAGCACTTTTATCCACAAAGCAAGGCTCCCACCAGATAGCAAGAACCAGGTGTGCCCTCGGTTGATTTCAGGGGTGCTAGAAAAGGGCTAGATTTCAGTTAATTGGCCCGGAGGCTTTATAAATAGCGTGCTTTCTGGTGTGGAGCATGCCCCATGTAATTAGATTTAACTGTGGTAGCACCTAGCGCTTATAATGATGGTGCTGGCCACAATACAAAGCGAACCAGAAAACTGAGTGTTAAGTAAAGCTAAACATTAAGTAAAGTGCTAACTAGAGCCATTGGTGAACAGTCTTGGTAACATCGTTATTATGGTGTTTATTAGTTTCTCCATTGTCTCTTAGTACATATTTTTATAATCCCTTTTTCTTTATGGATTTTCTCAGAATAATCCACAGTTTTCTCAGCTAGCTCACATTTCAAGGAAGACTAAATTGCTCTCTATACTCTCCCTCAATTGGGAAATAATTACTATGGAATAGGAGCCCGGCCAGCCACATGCCATTCTCTATAGTGGCTGTAGTCAGAAGGCAAGTCTAAGTTCACGTCTTCAGCAAGTAAAGAATCATAATTGCGCTCATTGAAATTACATGAACAGAACTCATATGGGTCTATTTGTTCCATAGCTAATGTTTCTAACATTTTCTTTAGCGCTTCGTTCATGATGAGCAACCACAGTGCGCAAAGCAGAGGTAAGAGCACTTGACCTAGGAATCATAAAGTAGACGGGTAAGTCCTCTCATGACAATATTCCTGCTCCGTGACTTTGCTCTGTGACCCTCAGACTTGCTGAGCGGATGTGGATAAAGGGCATTAGCTTGTTTTCATTGACAGGTAGCATTCCATTGGGTGAATATGACAATTTTTATCTATAATTAAATAAGATCACTTAGGTGGTTTGCATTTTTCTCTCTTATGAGCATTATGATGTTATAAACAATATTGTCTTCCCAATCCCAGGTATATACTCTAACTTCTCTGTCTAAGCGTGAAATGTATAGGTCTTAGGACATTCCTTTCTCCACTTGTACTTGGTGGATTTTACAAAGTAGGTGTATCCTTCAGTCTCGCCGACAGCTTATGAGTCCCCGGTGTGCCCCATCCTCTCCAGCGGTTGTTTTGAGTTTTTGCCAATCCACTGGGTGTAAAACAGATTTCTCTTAAGAAAACCTGAGAAATGGATAAAATAACATGGACCTCACTTACTAATTGATTGTAAAGATAAAAATCAAGAGGATAACATTTCTGTGGTGAGATCTGAAGCAGCATATTTAATGACTAGAGGCCCGGTGCACGAATTCTTGCACCAGTGGGGTCCCTCGTCCTGGCCTGCAGATCGGGCTGAAACCAGCTCTCCAACATCCCCTGAGAGGTCCTGGATTGCAAGAGGGTGAAGGCAAGGCTGAGGGACCCACCAGTGTACAATCGGGGCCGGGGAGGGACACAGGGGGTTGGCCAACCAGGGAGAGACAGTGGGAGGGCCCCAGGGCATGTCTGGCCCATCTCTCTCAGTCCCAACCAGCTGGACCCCAGCAGCAAGCTAACCTACCAGTTGGAGTGTCTGCCCCCTCGTGGTCAGTGCACATCATAGTGAGAGGTTGAGTGGCCTTAGCATATTATTAGCATATTATGCTTTGATTGGTTGAATGGCCGACCAGAAGACCAGACACTTAGCATATTAGGCTTTTATTACTAGTATATAGGATTACTGTGGTGATGGGTTTTGACATTAATATTATTTTGCCCAAACTAGATGTTATATTCTTTTGTCTTTTTTTCTTCTGCCTAATTGCCAGGGAGATATGTGTTTAAGTCTAATCCTGCAGTCTCACTCTCTGTTGAGCCATAAAAAGGAGCTTAGGGCTGGAGGAAGCAGACCCCATCCGATACCACGGGAAGACTGAGCGCTCTACTGACCATGGTCCTAATTCTGCCTCTCTCCCTATAGTAGGGTCAGCTTCAGCAAGTTCATTCTTGGAACTTCACCCTCCCCCATCCATAAAATTCAAATACTAGTGTTAACTCACAGGGTTAATACACACACACAGCCCTCTGCTAGACACATTTTAAAATCTCTCCTTTTTGTCTGTATTCCGTTCCTTCTCCAGGATTCCCTACCCAATTGATTCCATTAGCCCAAGAGTTTCCTCCCTGGCCTCCATCATGTCCTCCTCTCTCTTCTGCCTCTGCCTTCTGGGCCTTATATTGGAAAGCCAATCTGGAAACTCATTTCTCCTGATGTACACGCGGATAGTCAGAGTTTCCCAAGAGAGGACTATTTTTTTTAAAGGAAGGTGACTAAAGCGGGCAGTGATTTACCACATGGGCTCAACCCCTTGGAATCAAATGAGAGTGGTCCTGGAGGCCAGATGGCGGTGTAAGAAGATGATAAGGCTGGGTATCCAGGTGGAAGGTCCAGGGCAAAACAGGCCCAGAAAGGGCATTACTTATCCGGTTTTGAGAGTATGTTGAAAGGATGGGGAAGCAGAATCATAGCTTAAAGAGGAATCCAGAGTTGAAAGGCAAAATCTTGCACAAATAAAAAATAGAGAATGTTGAAGAATGGAACATTAGTTAGTGGAGCAGGTGGCCTTCACAGACATGAGTCCTGTCAAGCACCCCAGGGTTGAACGCAGATCATTCGTACTGGGCTCTTGTAGCTTGTTCTCCATGCCTCTCAGGGGAAACAGGTTGCTTAAAGAAACAGCCTGGCACGAACAGGGGAAATGTTTTGGCCTCCAGCACCTTCAAACACCATTAATTCCTCTTTCAGTTAACAAATATCCACCAAGCTTATGATTGACACCCAAAATTGGGCTGGGCCCTAAAAATACAAAAGAGAGACAGCCCAGTCCTTTAACTAACCAGTGTGTAAGCACCTGCCATGCCCTCCATCAACTTACTGAGCCATGGCCATTCTACGGGGTAAAAGTTCACCTCTGAATCACAGTGCTTGTAGAAATTAGGTGCACATAAAACAGCACACAGTCTGGGCTCTACCAGAGTTCTCAGTTCCAGGGACTCTCTACAGCTCACCAGTTTGTGTGCCTCAGATGAGGGGGCAGTCCTCTTCCTGCAGAATGGTGAAATCTACGACTGTTTCCATGGAGACACTGTCATCTTTATTTCACAAGTGAGAAAAAATTGTAGAAATGTTCAGTTGTTTCTCGATAGCTTGGTTGCTACTTGATAAACGGCCTTAGCTCAATTCTCTGATACCTGAATTCAAGCTAAGCTATTAGAAGCCTACGCAGATGAATCTCAGGACAAAAAAAGTAATTTTGCTATTAGAAGAGGATCGATTGGTTTGGTTATATTCCAAAATAGTAAAGTTACTCTCTGAGTTTTGGATTGTGGGTGACTTGCTTTCTTTTTCTTTTTAGTTTTTGTCCACTAACATTTTATTTTTTTAATATATTTTTATTTATTTCAGAGAGGAAGGGATAGGGAGAGAGAGATAGAAACATCAATGATGAGAGAGAATCATTGATGGGATGTCTCCTGCACAATCCCACACTGGGGATCAAGCTCACAACCTGGGCATGTGCCCTGACCAGGAATGGAACCATGACCTCCTGGTTTATAGATCAAAGCTCAACCACTGAGCCATGCTGACCAGACAACATTTTCTTTTTCTGTCTGCATTTTTTATTCTTTAAACTATGCGGCTTTTTCCTTATAAGATGCTTTTAAATTGTATGTAAATTTGCTAATAAATATGTATGGACACTAGGTTAAAATAAAATGCTTTTATTATAAGTTACAAAAGAAAGGTCTAGAGCTATGTGCTCCCAATCATGTTAACATTAGCAGTAGCATTTTTTGAGTTACTAATATGAGTCAGGCATAGTGCTAAGAGCTTCATATACATAAAATTTTTTAAATATTAGTGTTTATTGATAAAGGTATGAATTTGCAACCCATATCATTTTTATTCAGACTCCATTGATAACCTACACAGTGTCCTCCCCAATGTTCTTCCACTTACCTGACTCCACCTCTTTATTTCTGTGACCTCCATTCCCCAAGTGGGAGAGTCCTATGCCATGGGGGTATAAAACACAAATGCAGTGTTTTATGTAAAGAAAATTTTTCAGAGATTAGTTATATGATTTTAGAACAAAACCAATTAAGCAATTGTAGTGGATTATAAGCTCCGAATTTTATTTATTCTTTAAGCAAAGACCCCACCAGGGCTTCAGGGGGAAATTGTATGGCCAAGTGGTTTTCTTGCTTGTTTTGTTTTGTTTAACTCATTCTCTGAATAGACTACAAATGCGTTTTGCTGCTTCCCAACGCTCTTCTTCAAGTAGGATTTTTTAAATATTCAAGCAAAGTGCTCAGAGTTGAAATTTAATAAATCAGTTGCCACAATATAATGAAAAATTCATAATCACGGAAACTATTGTGTACACTACACAACTGATAGGAAATGCTGATGATTGTTATTTTCTTCTCTCATGTATGTTCTTATTGTTTCAATCCATGTTGAAAGGATAGCTGTGTCTAGTCCAGTAATAAGCCTCTATGTCTTGCTTCACTACATTTTAAATACTTTTTTAAAGTCTTTTTTTAATGTTATCATAGCTCTTTTCGCTTTCTCTTGGTTAGGATTCGGCTGGCATATAATTCTCCATCCTCTCATTAGTGAGCTCTCTGTGTCATTACATTTTAAATGTGAAATTAGCCCATAACTGGAATGTTTAAACCAATCTGCATCAAATTTTGTTTTCTGGGGATTTTTTAAACAATTTTTAAATGTTTTTCTATTGCAGTTTACATTTAATATTATTTTGTATAGTGTCAGGTACACCACATAAAGATTTGCATCTGATTATTAAATGCTAAGTTTATACCTTTGATATTTATTGTGATTATTAATATTTTAAAATTTGTTTTTATATTATTTTGTGCCTCCTATTTGCCCTCTTTTCACTGGCTTTTCATTTCTTTTCCTGCCAGATATTGGGTTCATCTCTCCCTTATGCCCCTCTCTCTTTCTTGGAAGTTATACTATTCTTCCATTGGTTTTAACATATATATACTAGAGGCCCAGTGCATAAATATTTGTGCACTTGGGGGGGTCCCTCAGCCCAGCCTGTGCCCTCTCCCAGTCTGGGACCCCTCAGGGGATTGGGCCTAAGCTGGCAGTCAGACATCCCTCTGGAAGCCCAGGAGCCCTCAGGGGATGTCCACTTGCCAGCAGGGAGCAGGCCTAGCTGCAGTTGGACATCCTAGGTGCAGCTGAGGAGGTGGGAGAGGATCCCGCCACCACTGTTATTATATAGAATAAGCCTAAGTAACTGTTATAATGGAACAACTGGAACAACCAGTCAACCAATTACTATGATGCACACTGACCACCAGGAGCAGACGCTCAATTCAGGAGCTGCCCCTGGTGGTCAGTGTGCTCCCACAGGGAGAGTGCCACTCAGCCAAAAGCCAGGCTCATGGGTGGCTAGTGCAGTTGCCATGGCATCAGGAGCCTCTCCCCACTTTGCTGCAGTGCTACCAAACAGCGACAGGTGTAGTGTGCTGTGATGAGCGCTAGCGGTGCAGTGCCCAGCCCCAGCTCAGGCTCCTCCCTGGCCGCTTGCAGCTTGGTGCACTGCTCCACTCTAGCCTGTGGGGATTTGGGCTAAAACCAGCAGTCGGACATCCCCCGAGGGGTCCCAGATTACGAGAGGGTGCAGGCCAGGCTGAGGGACACCCCCCACCCAGTGCACAAATCTGTGCACCAGGCCTCTAGTCTTAAATAAAAGTATGACTGAATTTTAAAACTCTTAAGTTTACATCCTCTTTCCAAATAATACAGAAAACTTTTAAAATACAATGTTAAAAGGAGAAATGTTAAAAGGAGAACTATCTTTAGCATTATTCCTATTTTCAAGGCCTTAAACTGTGATTAAAATTAACGTACTGTGATGAATGTAATTTAAACTTTAAGTGGTCAAACATTCCCTTACAACAAACAGTTTAACGCACACAATTCCCTATAACAAACATTCTTAGGTTCAATGTAAAAAGCCACAATCCTTGAAATTATTAAACTAGAACATCCGATGTCTCAGGCATACTCTTTGTTCTTAATAATCCCAGAGAGAATTCAGCTCTTTGATGAGCAGAAGCAGACTAAATTCACATGAAACCTAACTTTTGGTAACTGGCATATAAATATTCCCTAACGTTTGAGTTAGTATTTTGCCTCAAAAATTTGCTGTGTCAAAAGTATCCTATTCTTAAATGGTGATGGAAGGAGACTTAACTTGGGGTGGTGAACACACAATTCAATATACAGATGATGTATTATGAATTGTACACCTGAAACCTATATAAATTTATTAACCAGTCATCCCAATAAATTCAATTAAAATTTTATTTTAACAAGTATTCTATTATTTCAAAGTTCTGGTCAAGCTACTAACCAAGACTGTAACTTTGGTTATATTTTCTAGACTGGATTAAGACTATATAGTTTATAATTCTGCCTTCACACTAATTACTGCTCTTCCATTTTATTTACTACAAGAGGGCCAGTGCACAGATTCATGCACCAGTGGGGTCTGTTGGCCTGGCCTGAGCCCTCTTGTAATCCAGGACCCCTCAGGGAATCTCGTATAGCCAGTTTTGGCCTAATCCTCACAGGCCCAATCCAGACAGGAGGGAGCCCGATCCTGTGTGTTAAGCGTCTGTCCCCTGGTGGTCAGTGCACAACATAGCAACCAATTGACTGGTCGTTCGGTTGCTTAGGATTTTATATATATAGATTATTGTCCAGTATTTTATTTCCATATTTTTCTACTCTCAAGTCTTAATGAATTTTTTACAGTTATTTCTTCCTTGAAATTCCTACTCTGTAAATTATTTACAAATCTTGTATTTACTATTCCTCATAACACCTCACTCCTTTTTTATAGCCTTAACTTCCTCAAATTCATATTTTATTATTATTTACTGATATGAAATGATAAGCTGTGAAAATATGTTATTTTCATCAAAGAATATAGAGAAAATATCACATCAAAACTTGACAAGTGCCCTGGCTGGGTGGCTCAGTTGGTTGGAGCATTGTCCCACACACTAAAAGGTGGCAGGTTCAATTCTCAGTCAGGGCACATCCCAGGTTGTGGGTTCAATCCCCTGATCAGGGCAAGTATGAGAGGCAACCAATTGATGTTTCTCTCTCCCTCTAAAAAATAATAAAACTAAAAAGAATACTTGACAAGTAGTAGTATCTTAAAGGTAAGATACCAGATGAAAGCAAAACCCTTTCAAGGAATTTTTTAAATACTTTAAAATTGATTGTTCTGTCTTCTCTTTTAAAAAAATATTTACCCGGACATAATTTTATAGCTTCATACATTAGTCACTTGGAAAATAATGATTCATAGACCTGAGCAGATCTTTTCAATGTTCACACACTTCATTATGAAATAGTTTAACATCACTAAGAAAAGTCTTTTGAGATGCTGTTATGTCAAGATAGCAGCTGCAAGTTTTTCCAAATTCCAATTTGCATTTCAAAACTCTAAATTTACAGTTGGCAGGAAATACTACCATTGTTTTCCATGAATTAACTGGCTCACCTTGTTCATTTCTAATAAAATATCTGCCAAATGCCCAAGTCTGAATAACCACAGTTTGCTATTCTTTCTTTCAGGTTAAAAAACTAAATAAAAGTGACATTTTGTCCATTAAGACAAAATGTCATTCTTCAAGTTTAAAAAAAAAAAAATAGTGTTGCCTGAGTTGGGAATAATATTGGCTTGTAGTTCATTATGACCAGAAAAGAACAGATGATGGGGGATGGATGGATGGGTGGATGGATGGATGGATGGATGGATGGAGTATGGGTGGATAGAAGGAAGGAAGGAACAATGGATGGGGAGATGAAGGAGAGGGTGGGGGATGGAGAAATCAGAAGAGAAAGATTATTGAGTGTCTCACTGACAGATGTCAGACATTTGGGTTTTCTCCATGTGTAAAGGAAATCATGGAAGGATTTTTACCAGGGGGAGTAGCAAAGTCAAAATCACATTTTTTAAAGATTACTCTGGCTGCCTTAGAGAGGAAGGGGCAAAAGCTGAAGCCAAAGAATCCAGGGAAGATTGCCGTCTCGTGTGAGACAACAGTGGTGTAGACCAAGGTTGCCCCAGACACAGAGAGGAGCAGCAGACCCCATCCAGCTCCCTGTGGGAGGGAGGCAATCTGACACTAACAAAATCGCACTTCAATGCACATTTACTTTTCCCAGATCATAAAGAAAGCACGCAGCCCCACCCTCCTCAGCGATGCCAGGCTCCAGCCAGCTGCGGGCCTCGCGAAGACGATCTTCACTATAAAAACATGAACTGGAGGAAACCTTGCCCCACAAGGTCTGATGAAGAGGTAGACGCCTCTCTGCATTGTCTCTCTAGATAACCTTGGTGTCTGAATAGAGCTCTACTGAACGTTGCCTCAGAGGGGTATCACGATGAACTTTAATTTTTTTTTCAATATTATTGGGTTCTAACATTTTAAAGAGTTTTGCTGTATAACATTTTATGTTGCTCTTCCACCAGATTCTTTAGTTTGTATATAGTCATGCTCCCTATTCACAGGGATGTGGTTTAAGCCCCCCGGTGGATGCCTGAAACCACAGATAGTACTGAACCCTGTACTTACTATGTTGTTTCCCATACATACATGCATGCATACCTATGGTGAAGCTTAATTATAAATTAGATAGTCAAGGGTTAGCAACAACTAATAATAAAATAGAACAATTATAACAATATACCGTAATAAAAAGTAAAGGACTTTATTCCAAAAAACCCTTCCAATAAGAGATGAGTTTGATCCCAGTCTTGATGGAAGAGAATGACAGACCAGGTAGGAGGAGAGGTGAGGAGTAGGAGGGATTCCAGGCAGGAGGGCCAACTCATGCCAAGTCCTGAAGCCATGTGTCCACCGAATGTCAAGCACATCTGCCTGGCCAGACCCCTGTACCAGGCCTGGAATGGCAGGAAGCAAGGGCATGGAGTTAGGGGGGAGCCGGCTCACACACGCCCAGCATTGGGAAGATCCGTCTCTGGGAGGACCAGAGACTCAGATTCAGACTGAGACCAAGCACTTGCCAACCAGGTGACAGGTGTTGATTCCTGAGCCCCACACCCCGCCTGGCATGCCCACCTGTCAGGTTGCTGCAGGGATGGATTGGGACAATGGATGAGGGGTCTTCGATGTGCTGGACTCACGCAGGGGCTTATTTAATATTAGATCCTTGAGAACCGTAGGTCCGGGGACTGCCCTTTCTTCTCTCTGTCATGATGGATTTTACAATCCAAAGAAATCAGCTGGTATCAATAAGGGAGCATGGCACAGGGTAAAAGCCAGGCACACTAGGGTTCAAATTGCAGATCCAATGCATGTGGCTTTAGGCAAGTGGCCTAAAGAAGCTCCCTGTCTACACCTGTCCTGCCCTCCCCTCCCATGATGACTAGGGCAGCATAGACTCCACAGACAATAACCATCCCATCTCAGTAAGCTCCGGCAGGTAGAGAGCAGGAGGGTTTAGCACCCACTCTGAGCCTGGTGCACAGGGCCTTTCATGTAGATGGCGTGGAATTGCAGGTTACTCCATCACACCAATTTCACAGTTCCTACGCTGCAGTTACTTCTTCTGCGTCCAGATCCAGGGACAGAACTTTTGTACCACATCTCTACTGTCAATCAAACTGTGACTTGGCACCGGGGGAACAAAAGAACATTTTCATTAATTAATGATTAGGGCTTCCCCTTGACCCTAAAATAGTCCTCATTTCACCTGTCCCGCAGGAGGCCCAGCACAGCGAATGGTACGTTGGAGAGTACAGTCGCCAGGAGGTGGAAGAGGCCTTGATGAAGGAGAACAAGGTAAGACCTCGACGGGCCCATCAGCCTACGGTTTTCTGCCCCCCAGTCAGAGGACATAGCAAGCAGTGGACTTCGATGGAGTGGTTCTTGCCTCACCTTGCATTTCTCAGTGCTGGCAGTTACCACAAATTTAGTAGACTAAGACAAATTTACTCTTACAGTTTGGGAGGTCGCATTCCTACATGGGTCTCCCTGGACTAAAATTAAGGTGTAGGGCTGTGTTCCTTTGGGAGGCTCCAGAGGAGAGTCCATGTCATTGCCTTTTCCAGATTCCAGGGGCTGCCAGCCGTCCTTGGCTTGTGCCCCCGCCTCCCCCGCTGTCTGACTCTCACACCCCTGCCTCCCTCCGACAAGGATTCTTCTGATTACATTGAACCCACACAGATAATCCAGGATAATTTCCCATCTCAAGACTTTTAAACACATCTGCAAATCCCTTTTGCCCTGTAAAGGTGACCTATTCACAGGTCCTGGAAGTTAGGACATGGACATCTTGTGTGTAGGGGCATTATTCTGTTTTCCATAGCAACTTAATGTAAATTTTTCTTATTTAATTTTATAACATCAATTCCGAGAGCTAGGTTTTATTAAAATTCATTGGGGTCCTATTACTAATGAACTCACCCACTAATGAACACATTCATTTTTTAAAATATTATTGATTAATTGATTGCTTGATTTGAGAGAGAGAGGAAGGATTCATTGTGACAAACTCATTGTACAGTTTAAGATAATAAACCCAGAAATTGGTCACACATCTTGGCCCCCTCTTCCTTTCTGATCTTTGGCCATGTTCTGTGCTTGAGTCTTAAGGCTTCAATTACAGCCAAATGTCTCAGGCAAAAGAAGTTCCAGAAAATTTCTCAATGCCACTTGATGTTCTCAGAGGCTGGAATATTTAAAGAGCAAGTTTCCCATTGATGAGTTGTGATGTTTTTGGAGATTCACTTAAACTATTGGATCCTAATTTCCTCACCTGTAAAATGGGGATAAAACACCTCCTCAAATTATAAGTAAAGATCAAATAAAATAATGTGTGTAGAGTGCTTGATATCTTGAGGGAAATTCTCAATAAACCTCAGCTGTCAGCATCATTAGAACATCACTACAGTTTTATTTATAAATGTAACATTTTTAAGTATTATTCTAGAGCAGCAATTTTCAACAGGTATGCCACAAGCAATACCTGACTTTTCAGTCAGGGGCACGGACCTCTTGTCCCTTAGTCAAATTTTAAAAATGACCTCAGCACAACAACAGCTGTCTGGTATGAACGGTACCTTCTTTTGTCAGATCAGCAAAAAATACAATCTTTTGGTGTGCCACAGAACTGTAGCAATTCGTTTATGTGTGCTATGAGATGAAAATTGCTGTTATATCACGTTATAAGCATTATATAAATCTATATATTATAAATATTAATTACATTAACATATGCTATAATCACATATAAATATACAGTATTAGTCAAGAGAGATAAATACATATAACAACTATTATAAATATAAATTATACACAATACCTCATTGTATAGATCATTTATAATAATCTATGAAATTACAGTCAGATTTTCATCATGTAAGTGACGCTCTGTGACCACACAACTGAGCCGTGCAGGCAGGTGTGACCGCCTCCAGAAGGCCTGCTCCACTCCTCAGCCTCTCCGCCCGGCCCTCACCCTGAGCCTTTCCCGAGGGAGAGCCTGATGACTTCTGACCCACATCCGGTGCCCTTCGCAGCCCTCAGACCATCCCACACCCTGACCCCCGCTGTCTACAGCCTTGGCTTCCTTCTCTCTCTGGGACACTGTCTTAGAGCCCTTTCCTGTCCCCTCCTGCCTGCCCTGTTCTTGCCTGCCCCTCAGGCCAGGCTGTATTTTCTCCCCGCTCCTATGGCCTCGGCACTCACATTGACCTCAATGACCTTGAAGCTCCACATCTCTTTTGGGGACCCTAGTCCTCTGTTGACATCTCCCCATGCAGAGGCCCACTTATCATGCTAAACGCCTCTGCTACTCCAGCCTGTGGCAGCTCCCACCACCTCTGGATGGTACCCGCGCATTGGGCAGGACAGGAAATACGTGGACACTGGCAGGTGAAGGGGGTACCCGAGAAGGGGAGGAGGAGAGCTATGCCCAGCATCCCAGAGCCAGGCGGGGCCTGTGAGGGATGGTGGCTGACTGGAGCCAGCAGCGGGGCGGGGACTACAGGAGTGACAGCAGATAAACCACAGGCAGGCTGCTGTGTTCATCCACTGAGCAGCTGAGGTTGGAGGCAGGTGCTGAGGAGGTGGGGGTGCTGGAAGATCTGGAAGAAGGGGTGTCATCTGACTGGTTGACTTCTCAGAAAATAACAAGAATCCTAATACATACTGTCACCCCATAACCACTGAGTTCAACTGAGTAAAGAGCTAGTTTACCCAAAACTAAAGCCGTTGGGGAATCTGGAGCACAGGCGTCGCTTCCATGAGGCGAGGGTGGGACGCGGGCAGCCCCGCTGGCAGCCTGAGGAGTGATTGCTCTTCCTCTCCTTCAGGACGGCATGTTCCTGGTCCGAGACTGCTCGGCGAAGTCCTGCACAGAACCCTACGTGTTGGTGGTGTTTCATGGGAACAGAGTCTACAACGTGAAAATCCGCTTCCTGGAGAGGAATCGGCAGTTTGCTCTGGGGACCGGACTCCGAGGAGACGAAGTGGGTAACCTAATGGCTCCCCTTTTCTGTGCTAAAGAAAAATGGGGGGAGAACGTGCGGGGTGCTGGCCAAGGCCACTCCAGGTCCCCTGCCTGCAGGATGGGAGGAAAGAGCGCCGCCCGGGAGGTGGGGGGTGTAATTAATCCTTCCAGGCCCTTCCACAAGCATCCGTGCACATGGCTCACACTCACGGCCAGGGCTGACCATTCCGCACACCCTCTGTCCTGCTTTGCCCATTAAAGAAAACTCATTCTGCCCGACATCTCAATTCTGCCTCCCAGAACCCTCCCCCGAGGCCACGTTAATGCCACAGGCCTTCCCTGCCCCAGCACTGACTCCCCCTGCCGGCATTTCAGACAAGGTCTGTTGGCAATAGGAATCCGGAGGTTTGTGTCCCCAAACTAAAGTGGCTTCATCACAGCATCCAGTTACCGGTCTCAGGGCCCACCGGCTGGCAGGTGGCCGATGAAGGAATGAGTCAGTTACAGCATCATGCATACTGTGTCAAATGAATCACAGGGAAAGGGAAAAGGAGATTGATTTTCACTGAATATAGTCATGATAGGCCTGGTCTGTCTGCATTATCTCATTTTCGTTTTCAAA